AAAGTTGGGCAAACTTTTTTCGCGGCGGCACGCATTAGAGCAAAAAGCAGATATCCGTGAACAAAATGCATGCCGGGCTACTTTCCATTCGTCCCGATCTCTTTTGTGCTTTGCGCCTTGTTAGCATACGCGGCTTTTTTCGCAGGCAACAACTTTCGATAAAAGAAGTTTCTCAGCAGCAGCACCTTTTTTCACTTTTTGGCCCCTCGATCTGCCGCGCATTGTGCGAGAGGTTTGGGGGGAATCGATGATGCATTGAAAAGGTATCTTGAGATGCTGGGCTGTGTTTTGGGATGTTCAGTTTGGTTTCTTGTTAGAAAAATCCAAGGATGGACGCGATATTGAAATATAAAAATTTTTCAATTACGGTCAAATGTTGCGATTATTTCCGATCAAATATATTTTGGAAAAAACACAGTTCTGAACGGTTTTTTATCAATTCTGGATTCAGAACGAGAGGTCCAAACAAAAACAAAACCTGGTAAATGAAAAGTCTAAGAAATTTGTCTGCAAAACTACATGAAATGGACAGTTTTTCTTCGAGATTTAGCATTATATTCTCCCAGAATAAGCATTAAAATTGCTTTCCCCGATCGCAAAAAGATCACCAATGAACGCCTAGCGATTGCGAATTTTTCCATCCTTGAAAAAAATCCTTCATGAATTAAAATGATGTGAACAATAACTAATAAGAACCAAATTCCACTCAATTTGGGCTCTCGACGGAGTAAGGGTTTGACCGTTTCATGTGGGAGAGTTAGTGTCGGTCGGTCGTCGCCATCGGGCCTTGTGCATTTGCATGCGTGTGCGTTATTTATGCGACCGAGCTCTTGGTCCGTGGAGTGTGATATGTGGCTTTTGGCTTCCGCCGCCGCCGCCGCCAGTGACCGAGAGACCACCGGCGTGCAAAAATGCGGCCGTAAATCAAAATAAGGGAAGGTAGATAATAGGGGCGATGATAAATTCGCATTATCGCGCGCGCGCTCCGCAGACAATGGCCATTTTCTTGCCCTATCGTGCGTCCTATTTTTCGAATCTTTCCTTTGCTTTGGTGCGAAAATCGGTCTCTCGCGCATTTGCATGCGAGATTGATGGCCGCCGGCGAGTGTATTTATGCAGGAAATTACAAAGCGTCCGCTTTTGACAAATTCTGTCGACGAACACACGCGCGCACACATCATCCACATTCAGACTCTCTAATGAATTATTTAATTTCCTCTCGGGGAAAGTGCCGCGCTCAGCCGAGAGGAGGCAAAAAAAAATTGCTCTCGCGCTGCTGACGATGAATTTCAAACAGCGATTACGCTGCTTTCTTGCACGGGTCTTTGCAGAATCTAATCATGGGACGTGGCCGTGCTTAATTGCTTGCGTAACGGATTAAAAAATTAATCCAAAGGCAAAATCTTTATCTCTAATATGGCTTGATAGAATTTTGTTTTAGCACCAAAATCTGTTTTAATTTGAGTGATAATTATGGGATAAAATAAAACATTATTTCAATTAAAACATCAATCTATTTTATTTCAAATCGTAGCAAAGATTATATCATTTGATAAAATTTATCTATGTCATGTATCTTTTTATTCTTTTTGCAGTTTTAAAAGTTTTTAGTTAAAAAATTCTCTAACTAAAATTAAATTGATTTTATTTTTCAGTTTAATAAAGTTTAACAAAAACAAGATTATGCATTACAAATGATTAAATGCTTTTCATTGTCTTATTATTCCTATTATTTTAACATTATTTCAATAATAATGTGGCTATTTTATTATCAATTATTATTATTATTTTCCTTATAAAGAATTTTTTTTGCAAATTTTATGAAAATAAATGTAAAACATGGAAAAATATTTATAACTTGTCAGAAATAACTATAGCCTTAAAATATTCCTCGTTGATCTAATTAAAATTAAAAAGAACGATCTGTCTAGCTTATATTAAAAATGCAACTAGTTCACAAGGTAAGAAAATAATTAAACATATAAAATTTTATTGCAAACTCTAGCCCTATTTTGCGAGGGGTTAAATTAAAAAGAAAATAATAATAAAAAAAAATGTATTTATAATGGTTAGGAAAAATTTAAAATTAATTTATTCCTATTTTATAAGATTGCAGGCAAGAGGCTTTTGTTAAATAAAGTACTGATTTTTTTTAGAAAACTTCCAATTTGTAACTCGACTATTTTCAGGAAATAAAAGGAATTAAACAAAATAATTTACTGCTGTGGGTTTGGTTATATTCCCTATAAATGGTACACTTCTAAATATTTGAGATTTGATTTAATTTTTTGGGAATACAGTCTTGGTTTTTCGGGAAGGGGTTGCAGAAAGGGCGCTCTTGAGCGGGGTCGTAGCTGTGGGCGGCGGCAGGCAGCAGGAACTATTGCCTCAGAGGTGGCTGGTCAGCTGGCAGCAGCAACGGTCCGGACACCTGCGGAGGTGGTTGACTCGAAGCAGGACGTGATGGTCGGACGGATGGCAGCGGGCGGAACCAGGTCTTCTCCTGAGGGCCACGGCAAGGCAGGTCACCGTCTGGAGGGCCTGGAAATTAGGGGAATAGTGAGTATGGGCTGGTTATTGATAAAATGGTTGTTGTATTTAATGCAACAACACAGTCGGACTTAGTTTACCTGGGTGAATTGCAGGCACGGGTTTGGAGGGTGACTTGTAGCAGCCGGGGTGGAGTGTCCGGGTTAGGCGCCGCTTCTGTCCGACGTCGCTGTCCGGAGAGAGGGTCCGCCCTAGAACAGTATTGGGGCCATCAGCTGACCGCAAAGGAACTAGAGGGCGTATCTCTTACCGTCAAGGTTGGACGGGACAGGTGCAGCTCGGGATCCTCTGGCGGGGGCACAACTGACCAGGGTGGAGGCAAGGGAGGCCGTCCGGTCGGCTAGGACGGAACGGTCTGCTTGTGGTCGATCCTGGGAACAAAGAGTTAACCTTTGAGTTCCTCCGTCAGCAGCAGTGGCAAGAGAGTCGCCTACCTAATCGGTTAAAGGCGGATCTGCAAGTCGTGCTGCGGCCGACGGGGGAGCTCCTTATATACCATAAGCACCCACCCACTTTTCATAAACAAAAGATTGCCCTTCTTCTAGAATATTCCCACCCATCGGTCGACGTGAGAGAATTCAGGCAACCTTTGTACCTGAATTCTCCAACGTCAAAAGAATTTACTTTTCATCCCAAAAATAGACTTGTTAATTCTCAACAATTGATTTCCCACAAAAGATTATTAGACTGATTTTTAAAATTAATTTCACTATTAGGATTTTAATTTTAAAACCCACTTAACAAAAAATATTCATAAAAAAGAACTAAGAACAAAACGTACATAATGCAGTAACAAACCCCGTAAATTAATTTGATTTCTCTTAACAAAAACAATCCTTAAATTTTTATACCAATAACATAAGATAAAAAAACAATGTAGTCGATGTACTTGTTTTAATGGTTGAAATTATTTGATTTTTTTGACGACATTATTATCGTCCTTATTATTTGGCGTATTTGGCAAGCAATTCCTTTCAGTCCTGCACTAACAAGGTTGTTTTGTGCGACTCAGCGGTTCGAACGCGACCAAATCAATTGATTCCACGCAATTGGGTGCCTCGACCGAGACACAAAGTTTTGCACGCGCGCATAAAAGATAACGAGAGGACTGTCCCCTTAGCGCGTCTGTCGAGACTATGCTGCTTAAAAGCGCGCGGAGGTAAAATTTTACGACGAATCTGATAGGGAGGCGATAGCGTCGCGCGAGGCGGCTTAGCGAGATTTATCAACGGACAGCCGCAGACTTTTGTGCGAATAAAACACTTGTTGCGAGATCCAATCGATTTCCCATGCATGCCGGCCGGAAAAAAAGCAAAGCGGACTAACTTATTATGGCAGTTGTGCGTTGCGAATGAAAGATCATTGCGGGCAGATAAAAACTTTCCAAGTGCTATTTTTATGTGCCAAAAAAGTGCTGCCACTGATAATCCACTTTGCACTACTTTCGTTGGCAGAATGGCTAAAAAAGTGCTCGCAGCTTTTTCGACCAACACAAACTCTATTAGCGGGCGATTTGCGCTAAGTGCTCCTCTTGTGCTCTCTCTCGTCATGGCGCGATTTTTTGCCGACTGAATTAAACAGTGATGGAGGCTGCAGCTTCTCTCGATAATTAGGCACGTCGTTTATCTCGCAGGCTGGATTTAGTGGGAGTTTGTGTAGAGGAGAAAAGGAAGGGAAGCGGCGTTGAAATGTTTTGATAAAACCGTCGGAAAGTGCTTGGCTAATAATAGGCACCTTAATTAAATGCTGTAGATTGTAGATTCAAAAAAGTCTCTATTTGGGTTAAACGAGAACATTCCCTATTTTATAAAAGCATTAAATATGTTGAATATTATGGTGATTCAGATATAACATATCTCGATTTCTATTAACGCTGCTTTTGTGATATTAATTTTGCAGAAACGATTTTTGTTAAATTTTTGTAAAATAAATGTATTTGAAAAAATTGAAAAGAAAATTAACAAACTACAGCCCTATTGATTTCATTCATTGATTTGATAGAGGTCGCTAGCATATTAACTAAAATTCAAATGTTTGGATAATTTTCAAATTTAATAAACAACACAAATGAAAAATTTACAAAATGATTCATTTTGAGTAAAAATTATGCCCATTCGTCCTATCAATATTAGTTGCTATAAATATATGAAACAATTAATGAAAGACTAAAAAAAAATCAATATTTAATTTTTTGTGTATTGACTTGATGTAAGATGTTGTGTATTTCATGTATCTGAATGGAGAATAAATAAATAAATAAATAAATAAATAAATAAATAAATAAATAAATAAATAAATAAATAAATAAATAAATAAATAAATAAATAAATAAATAAATAAACAATAGCCTTCTTGCACGAGGAAAGCACAAAACACGTTTCTTTCCTGACCTCGTCAGTCAGAGTGGAACCAAATGCAGCACTTTGCTATTTCTACAAGTCGACTTACAAGCACCGTCGGCAGCTGTCCGCTCGCAAAGTCTACACAACTCGGTCCTCATCTCTGCTTCAACGTGTGTCTCTTTGGGTCACGTTCGGTGCAGTTGGATGACATCTGCGTACATTCTGTTATCTCTGAGGCACCATACTCTGTCGAATGCATGTCCTCAAGTGGATGCTGCGGACAAGGAGTTCACATATTAAAAAGAGTATAATTGTAAAAAAAAAAATCAGATATCTCCCAATTAAGTTTTAATATTTTATTAAAAATATGAAGAATATATTGACTGCAAATTAAAATATAATGTTACTTTTCTAAAGAAAAAGTTCAAATTTGTTTGCAAGCACATGATTTTTGGCATGAAATTTTTGAGACTTAAATTTTTTGACAAAATTAGCCTTGTTGTGCTTCTGAAATAATTTTACCTGAAGCGGTCCTTCACTTTTCAACTTCCTTTCCCTTTTCTTTTCAAATATATAATTGCAGTCTCTTTCTTTCTTTCTTAGGCAGTTTGTATACTCCTTCGACTCGCTTGCCAAAAGTTTTCCGCTCTCATTCTGTTTGTAAAAGTAATTGGCGCTCTCATTTTCTGTTTGGAGTGGAGGGAAACGTCTCTACTTTTCCGCTGCCAGGCCCTCTCTGTCGCTCCGAGAGAAGCCTCCGCTTTTCGGACACGAGAGCGAGAACACAACAGGTTTTGCAGGTCGGTTTTTCGTCAGACCGCAAAGCCATAGGGGCTGTTCGTCTAACTCGGAAGCAGGAGGCTTATTTGGGTCAGACGGGGGTCAAAAGCGCGCCACTTAAAAGTTTTCTCAACTTCTTTACGCCACACAAACACACGTCACAATTGAAGATTTCTATCTATTGAGAGGGAAGCGATAGAATTCTCCAAACCAAGAACCAATATAATTTTGGAAATTAAATCTTTAAACTTTAAATCGATCATTAGTTGAATTAAAATAAAATAAAAAAACGTGTGGAAATAGGATTCAGGTTAAATTAAAAATTGAGTAAAAAATGTAAGCGCAGATAACTTGAATTTTTTAATGCAATGAGATAAAATTTAAAACATACACAATGAAGCAGACTTTTAGTTGTTAATTATTAACCGCTTCCTCAATTATTTATTTTTATAATTTTGATAAATAAAAATTCCTGAGCTCTGAGGATTGAAAGTTATATACAGATATTTTATTACATTTATAATAATGATTTTTAAATGAATCATTATTAGATGATCCCTCTGCTATCAGATTTTTTTTCTAATAAAGTTTGCAATTATTTATTGAAAAGTATTCAATTGAGTATATTAATCATCTAAAAGGAAATTGAAAGACTTATAGAAATGCAATGCCTCTGATATTAATCTACCCAAATTGTATTATTGTTTGTGATAATATTCTATTCCCGAAGGACCAGTTGCTAATTAATCAGGGTCTCGCTTCACACAAGAAAGCGCCCATAGAAATTTCAAGAGATTTCAATTCAGCCCTATAAAGGAAACGCTTATCTGAGAAATCCTCTTGGGAAATTTTAACTTTTTTTGCTCCCTCCAAAATAGTGTTGCGATTTTCCTCCACTTCTCGTCGGCCGATAAAGGCTGGTGTGTTTTGCCCCGGCATTGATTTCCATTTTATGAAAAGACACCGAACGAGAGGAGGTCGTAAAAATTTCGTCATATTCCTCCGGCATAAAAGCAGCAGGCCGCCGAGCGCGCGATCGGCCCGAATAACACAAAGCTGGAAACAATACCTCCCGGACCGAGAGAGATTCTCATTTGAATAATTCATTCGGATATACCGCATGTGCACAAACAGCGGGGAGCAGAATTTTCCGCCGACTTTTCGGAATTATCCTGCAGAGAGAAAGGGTCTTTCTTTTCTAATCCAAGCCGGCCAAAAGAATAATAAATAAAATTAGAGAGGGTGCCCTTTGTTTTTGGAGAGAGACGAATTATAATGCAATATGCTCCCTTGCCACGAGCAGCGAAACCGGCGCGTTTTGAATAATTTAGCCGGCCCGCAACGAGGTGCGAAGAAGAATTTCTCATTTCGCTAGGCAGAGAATTTGGTCGGTGTTGATTTTGAGAGAGCGGCTAGGCCATTGTGTTTTCCTTTCTTCTTTCATGCTATGCTATGCACTGCCTGCGAGACACAGCGAGAGGCAATTAAAGTTTGATTCGCTTAATTACCACAGCGCGCCTCGTCTGTTTGACTTTGTCTGCGGTTCCGGGCAATTTTGACGAGGAGACCAGCCGGAGATGTAACATCATAATTGTATTTTAACCTTCAACAAGAGCATGGATGAACCCAAAGCGTAGTGACTTAAAATAGGCCCACTTTATCATGCACGAAATCATTTTAATTAAATAAATATTTTGAATATTTATATGATATCTTAATTTTGTATGTGAGACAATGCTAGGTTGATTTTTTTTCAGTTTCAGTTAAATATATTAGTAAATTATTTTTTTCAAGTACATTTTATTTAGCAATTTGCAACAGACTATTTTTAAAAATTTAAATATGTTACATTTTTAAAACAAGTTTTTGTAAATAAATATAATAAATTTTTAAAAATTTAATTTTTGTAAATAAACAAATCTTACCATGCTTTGTCACAAACAAAATGAAAGTATTTTAACCATTTAAAAAGTAACATAAAATATATTAAGACTTGTAGGACCAAGTTACATATGATGAAATGTACATTTAATCAACTCGAAGTCATTCCCTGTCACTGCCTTTTTGCTTCATGGACATGATGCTTTTTATTTATTTCAGTATAGATAATTGAATATAAAAATTAAAATCTTTTCATTGGAAATTGAATTTGTTAAACGATTTTAGACATATTAATGTGCGATATAATGTTATACGTCTGTTATTTCGTGTCTGTTGCTTTATCAATGGACCACAATGGACAAAATAAAAGATTTTACGATAATAATTTGATAAATAAAATCGCGAAATAAGTGATTAGGAAATTATTATAAAAATTATTGTCTTCCACAATATATAAAAGTTTGCAAAAGCCATCTCAACGTAATCCAGAAAACAGCAACCCACATGAGTATTGATTGGTTGGCGGCGCGGTGGGAAAGGTCGTGGGAAAAGCGCAGCAAATCTTTCGAGATAAGAGTGCAGCGACACAGAGAACGATATGTTTCCATGTATGTATGCGACTGTAGCTAGCAATTCTCCCTGCGCTAATGTTTGCCCATAAATACTTGAAAACAAAATACATGCAAAGGAGGGAAAAGCAGCGCTGCTTGCTCTTATAAGCTCGCGGGATAAACTGACAGCAAGTTGAAATGCAAACAAGCAAAAAGTAGCTCGTCGACTCAGCCAGCCAGACCTGCCCTACTTTTTTGCCTTTCTCAACCCTGCGTGCTCCGAGGCGAATAACGGCGGCCGCAAACACACACGTACGTAATTCACGTGGGCGACGAGCAAAGGTGAAGAGAGCGGCGCACTCAGCACTTTCTGCTGCAAAAACGAGATGCGAGAGAGAGAGATGAGAGAAATAACTGATAAGGGAGAATTCAAAAGTGGCTATATTTTTAATCCAGAGTATAAGTTTTTGTCATCAGCTAAGTGTCCCGTGAAAGATGATGATGTGTGATTCATGAAATAATTATATCAATAAAAAATTATTTTATCCTACACATGCATACTCCAATGTAACGTAGAGTGCTCAATTTAAAATCAGTTTTATCAATAATTATTAAACAAAAACAAATAATAAATTAGTAACTTTTGACTAAACGCCTTTAACGTGGAGTTACGTTCCGAGACAAGAGATAATGAGACAAAACTGAGTCAAAAGTTACTAGTAAATTTTCCGTTTCAAGTGGTTTCTTTGGTTTTAAATTCTCAAGAAACAAAAATAATATAAAAATTAAGTGAAGAGCTTTACAAAATTAATCTTGAATGAACTATTTTTCATCAGCAAAGAAAAAAAAAAATAAAATGGAAAATCTTGTCCTTGTTTAAAGTCACATACAATGGCTTTAGCATGAATATGTAAAGGGTACGATATTTCGATCTTTCTCATTTCATTTCCATATCAGAAAAGTTCACTCTTCCTTTGATCCTTATGTTTTATGTTTAGCTCTGGTGACCACTAAAGTTTCAAAGATTAGAAAAGTTTGTGGCGTTTTCAAAGGAAAATACAAAAAAACTTATATGCAAAAATTCATTTCCTTTTTTCCTTGTACCGGACTGATATCTTTGACATTTGATCTGAAGAAAATTAATTTTGAAAAGACGGAGCAAAAAATGGGAAACAATCTCTCTACTCAGCTGTTGTATTTCCCTTCCTTACCGTCTCACTTTTCGTCGCTGCAGCCGAGATTTATATATTTACTGGAGATGATTAAATAATTTTGCAAACAAGCGTCGCGTAAAGATTAATGGCGGCGGCGCCCCGGTCGGTATTAATTAGTGGAACACGAGCGGGCGGCAGGTATTAATAAAATATGATGGGGCGAGTGGCGGCGCCGGCTCCACCCGGCACACGCCGCTGCTCTCTCAATGCAGCTTTTCCAATTCTCCTGACAAAAGGATCAGCTCGCGAGAGGATAATAAGCAAAGTTTTTGCCGCAAAAAGCAGCTTAAGATGAGGCAAGGCTGAAAAATTGGATCCGAGCCGCCGCGCCCTCGACCCTGGTGATGAGATGGACGTGGTGTATTTTTTTTTTAATTATTCTGGTCGGCGGTTATTTTATTTTCCCCTTTTAACCGCTAATTAAATTGCACGCGGACGAACAAACAAAAAGTAATGCCGGGTGTAAACAAAACAAAAGAGATGAAAGGTGCTTTTGTGCACGAATTACAACATGTGTACAGAATTAATTCTCTTTTGTCCAGTGCCATGTGCTGGGAGATTGAACTGTGAATCTGCTCTTGACTGGAAATAAAATAAATAAATAAGCTTATGTTATTTGTTTGAGATCTACTCTATATTAATATTAACAAAAAAAAGAAACTCAAGCAATTTTTCCTTTGATTTAAATTGATTTTTTACTTTGCTGTTGATATTTTCTTTTTCAATGGAAATCGACACTGCATTTTATATTTTGGATGCAAAAAAGCATTTATTCTCCACTGTTTTTCTAACATTTAATAATTATTTCAATCATACAATTGTAGAAGACATTTAAAACAACAATATAACGAAATCCAATCTTTACCAATGCCAATCGAATTTGTCTAAATTAGCCAATTTAATAAAGGGATACTTAATTTTAAATTATTCGTTGAAATTTTGAGTAAATCTGAGCAAAATTTTATTCTTAAATTTACCTTGACTGAGCAAAAGCAGACAAATTTAAAATAAATAATTCGAATAAAAAGGAACTTCTTTAACTTCAAAATAACAAAGTATATTATATTTTTTTATAATTCCAAAAATATGCCTTTCTCGCTGTTTGCATAACGTAAAAAGAGTCTCTAATTTTCCTCTCAGAGCTCACTGGCGAATAATAATAAGGAGGAAAACCTTTTCAATGAACGAATTTATTTTGCTTTGTTTACTGAACCTCACAAGTAGATTGGTGGTTTGCTTTGTCCCTGCTTTGTTTTTACTAACTCCCTCCGTACAGAAAAACACATCCTCTTTAAATTTCGTGCGAATCGGCCCGGCAAAAAGCAGAGGAACCGCAAACCGTGGGAGAAAGAACGAGCGGCGCTCGCTCGCTCGATGTGTATATTTTTGTTCGCCCGCAGGCCCGGAATTCTGTAATGAAAATATATATGCATGCGACACGGGGCGGAGAGGCAGGCAACCTTTTTATTCTCATTATTTGCAAAGTATACTTTCTCGTTTTCCCGCAGTCACACAGCCGCTGCATGCAAGTCCTTGGGGGCATTAATTTGTATGTACACAGTGCATAATGTACGGACACATTTTTCGAGAACAGAAACACTCACTTTTTTCAAAGGCAGAAGAGATGCCACCGGATGAAGTTTGCTGGCGGGCGCACAACAAATCCTATATCCCATCCTGCCAGACACACACACGCGCCGACGGACAGACAGACACACTGACAACAAGAGATGATTTTGTTACGCAAACATAATAACAATAGGCAAATATATATTTTGCACACACATGTTTATGAAATAGCATAATATGCAGAGACAATTAATTTCAAATAATTACATACTAAATAATCATTAGAACTAAACAAGCATTTGGATGTTTCAAAAAGTCTAAAAAACTGCAAACCTTCAGCGAAAACAATGATAATTTAATTTTGTTTTTGTTGTGTGCAACGCTAACATTTCATAAATTTTGAAGTAAATCTGTAAAAAAAATTCTTGTCGAATTTTGCAATTTACTTTTTTATCTATTCTTGGTGTTTTTGGGCATGGAAATCAATTTCATTCTTGCATGAAACTAAATAAAAAGACAATTTTAGCTGTGCAATTATTAGGACTGGGCATATTTTCGCTGATCAAACTGTCTTTTATTTCTTCTCCGCACAATTTAAGAAGTTTTTTGTTTGGATTAGACCAAGACAAAGTGTCTCATTGGCCTGTGCCAATAATCTTGAGCTAACAAAAGCCAAGCTCCTATTTTTTATATGGAGGTAAATTTTTTATTAACATTATAACTTTATTAACATCAATTTATTCAAAATGTGAAAGCTAGTAAATCTATAAACACAAAATTGCTTTTTAATTACTTAAAGAATGAAAATTTAGAATTAAATTGTTGGTTTTAGTAAATTTAAAATAGTAAAATGGCGGCAAATTTTTCAGTAAAATTGAAGGAAAATGCAAGTAACATAGCTTACAATTTTGATGGTTTTTCAATTAAATAATAAATTATAGCATTTAAAAATAAAAATTGCTGCCAAAATAGATTTATCCGTTATAAACACTTTATATTTTTATCAACACGCATCATTCACTCAAGCTTCGATAGGAGATGGATTGTCGTCATCGTCTTGATCTCGCTCCTCTTCTCTCGAATAAAGCCCTAACCTAATAAACTACGACGAGCACCCTTTTGAATAAGAACCCTGCACTCCCGATATTGGCCTTTAGCGAAGAATAGCATCTTCTGCGAAATAGGTTCCCTGCAGCAGCTATATACACGCCAAATTTTATTTCCAATTTCGAAATGAGCCCTGGTGAGTGATATAATGGAGCGATCCAGCCGCAATCTGTCACCATTCACTGATGCTCCCCCAGCTGCAGCGCTTCGGAGTTAAGAATCGATGCCGAGAATGTGCTCAGTTATCCGCAAACGCCCAATATATAAAACCTGGCGTCCCCACGCGCATTACGCACACTTTCACGATCGCCCGCACCAAATGATGATGATATTTGCTTTCGAGAGAATAAAAAAAATGAACCAATCGTCAGGATAGAAATCCACCACATTCAAACTGCAGAAGGGTTGTAACGTGAAGTTAAAAGTATGAATAACAATAATTTTGAGGTGTATATTTTTATTATTTCAAAAAATTTAATTTAGCTTTGTGGCTGAAAAGTATTAAAGATATATTTCAAATTATAATTTCTCAAACAAATTGAATTCAAACCAAATAATTGGGACTCGTCACAGATTGTCGATAAATTTTGCAATTGACTGATACTAAAATATTGTAATGTGTATCAGAATTATAATTTATATTAATTTATTTTATGCTTTTGTGTCAAACAAATGAATAAATTACGTTGATTAAATTAATCCTTACAAAAATTGCTTGACCAATAAATAATGAAAATTTAATAAAATTAATATACTTATAATTTTTTAAATATTAAGAATTCTAATTTAAATTATGAATATTTAAAAAAATACTGATTTTTTTATTACGGCAATTAAAAAAATAATTGAATATGATTTAAAAATCAACTGATATATTAAAATTCATTAGTGAAAAAAATGCGGAATTATTCCTTAATCAACAAGAAATGTTTTAAAAACGTTTCCCCTCCAGTTGCCAAGAGAATAAATTCAAAATTTAATCTTACAGCTACAGTTCCCCTTAGCTATTTATTATTAAATATAATTTACTCTTTTGTTGTCTTCTCAGGTTTTTATTTTATTTTATTTAAAAAACAGTGTAATATAAATTTTTCTCGTCTTTTAAAAAGGAGGAAAGTGGATTTTCCTAATCAAATGAAAGGTCTGCTAACGGCCGCGACTCTTTTATTTTCGGCGCGTGCGAAACCAACACATTGCAACGCACCCCAAAGTCCTGAGAGCAGAAGGGTCTTTCGGCCGCTAGGGCTGGGCAGGCGCTTAAAACCGTCTGGCCGGTCTGAGTATATCGAAAATAAAAGCTGGTCGGGTGAAGCCACGCGGGAACAGTAGTTGTTTGCTTGTGTAGAGAGGATAGTGTTATTCGGCATTAAAGGCCCAAGAAAATGTGGGTAATCCGCCTTAAGTATAGGGGCTGGGCTGCCACTCGACTGCTTTATTGAGATCTTAAAAGTAAAACGCCGTGACATTCGTCGTGACGCCGAAAACCGCGTGTGCACCGAAAGAAATAAGAAGATCCAACCCTTTCGCCGCCTCTGCTCTCTTCCTCTCGCGCCAACTGCTGCAAACCTCTGTAATTTCCCACAAGACCCATACACAAATGAAAGCAGCCCCAGCCAAAAATGGCCGCAATTTTCTTCTCGCCGGTGTGCACACACGCCCTGCGAGACTCACGTGCGCTTCGCTTGTTCCTCACGCATAAAAATTATCTGAGCTCGATTCTTGCAAATACATGGAGTGCTTCTTTTGCACAAAAGATTTTTAGTTTGACACGCAAGAATAGATTTCAAAAAATTATAGGAAAACGTAGCTTTCTCTCCAAATTAAAAAGTAATTTTGCTAATTTATTATGATACATCAACGGCATTTTCTACTCTAAAACATTAAACATACATTTTAAAAAATAGGAAAGCAATCTAAAAAGCAGAAAAATGGTAAAAAGAAAAAGTAGAAATTAAAAGAAAAAAGAAAAAGTACAAAGTTATCATTTTTGTGAAGGCTACTTTTTAGTTCCATATTTCTCAAATTGTGCATTAAAATTTTTGATTTCAAACGCGCCACTTTTTTAATTTAATTTGTTATTTTATAAGATAAAATATTGATTTTCAAAGAAGAAATAGGCGCATCAATTCAAAAGCCAAAATTGATTATGATGTCAGTTTAATTTTGTGCATGAGCTGCGCAATAACAATTAATTGAACAGTCTATTTTTAATAGATTGTAATATTAGAGTATATTTTAATAATTGGAATTCTACCAAAAGTCCATGAGATGAAATAGAGAGTTAACAAAATGGTTTTGAGAAAATATCCAAAAAGTTGATCATTTTACTCATCAGAAAAGATTTTCAAAATAAAAGGAATTAGAATTGTTAAAAATAAATTTCACGATTTCATAAACTATCAATTTAATTTTGCATGAATTACTTGTGGCAAAAATTTTAAAGGAAAATTGGACAGAATAAGACAATTGAATGAAGCCGGAATGCGCGAAGGTTGAGTGCAATTACAGGGGCAGTTGAGCAACGGCGGGAATGAAATAATTCTAATCTTTTTACAACTACCTGCCGGCGTGCAGTGCGACGCAACACAATAATCGTCATTTGTGCTCTTTCTCTCTTTGGTATGTAAATTGCTTTGGCCACAGCAGAGAAACGACGAGGTAGGATGAATGCAAAAAGGGCGGCCGCGGACGGTTTACAATAATAACAAAAAGCCGTCGAGAGAAGGAATGAATGAGCCACTCCTTTTTGTCCACGCACACAGGCCCCTCTTACAATGGCGAGAGGAATCTCGGTTGAAAAAGTTTCTGCATATTAAAACACGCTGCGAAAAATGTAAGAGGAATTTTTCTTCCTTTGTCCGACTCATTCGAGCAAAAGTGGCTTTTGAGGTAAAATCCAATCTTATAAAAAAACACAAAGGAAACTGATTGAGTATTTTGCAAACGTCCTGATTTTGACAGAAATAAGTCCGATCCTTAACATCTAAGAGAACAAAAGGCATTTAAATTAAATCAGCGGAATCCAAACGTCTTTCTCTCCTTCAACGGAAGGAAGCGCAAGTTAAATTTGTTTTATTAAACCTCAGACTCGTCGACAAAGACTCAATAATGTTCCTTTAATTCTGTCTCTTCTTCCGACGGCTCCGAATGGAAAAGCGAGAGAATGAGAAACGAGAGAGTTCTCGGGGCAAAATGAATGAGAGGGGAAATTTATATTATATGAATTATTACTGCCGAGAGGGCTCTTCTTGTTCCTTCGAATCAATCGATTTCTCCAGATCTTTCTTTTGTGAACTTCAAGAGTGTTTTTAAATCATTTAAAGTGAAAGGTAAATTATTGTTCCTAAATTTTTTTAATAAAAGTCTCCAGAGGATTAGAATTTAGCAACGGATAAAAAATGTACATCACAATCAAATGTTTTACTTTTTGTATATTTGGATAAAATTAGTTTTAAATTTATTTTATACAATTTATCAACCCGAGAAGTAATCAACGATCCATTACTTTAATTTTTTTTAGAATTCTGAAGTTAAAGTTATATGATATCAGATTATACTACTACAAAAAAAAATAACTGATTTGAGAATTATGAAATAAGTTAATTTTGTTACTAGTTGAATGAACCTTTCAAGTAACCTTTTAGTTAAATAAATTGCAAAATCAAATTCAAAATTTAATAATATTCCAAGTTAAAATCCCTTGGTTTAATTATTTTACAATTATTACTCTGGTACACATAATTTTAATATTCATTCCATTTGAACTGATATTTTATTCAATTAACATTTTGTACACACTCTGCACGATTCTTATTTGCATAGGTCGGTTTTAGGCTTTGTTTGTTGTTCAGTCAGATTGAAAAAGCAAATGGGTGTATAGCGACCGCACGGCGGAGACAATCAGACGAGAAGCGTGCTTTTGGCCCGCCACACAACATTTCACACACAACCACGCAGCGAGTGCCATCAGCGTAATGGCTTTCTGCTCAGTTATTCCATCCACACTTTGCTTGTTGCAAAACATGCGAAATGTGGTTTCGG